GCTTTAGGGTTATTTGAAATTTGAAAGTCCTTTATTTGTGAAGGTATTTTAATTGATTATTTAATTGTGCACATTTTCGAAACTTAGGCAGATGATTATTAGGGTTATTTGAAATTTGAAAGTCCTTTCTTTATGAAGGTATTTTAATTGATCATTTAATTGTGCACATTTTCGAAACTTAGGCAGATGATTATTTAATTATGCACATTTTAAAAACTTATGCAGGTGGCTGAACTCATAGAGAAGGATCTCATTTTAATTGGTGCAACTGCGATAGAAGACAAGCTTCAAGAAGGAGTGCCGAGTTGCATTCAGACTCTTTGTAGAGCTGGGATTAAGATTTGGGTGCTAACGGGTGACAAGATGGAAACTGCAATAAATATAGCCTATGGTAAGTAATTAATAGGGATTCTGCTTTAGGTGAAACTTTCTTGGAAACTGTGTCTGTTCCTCGTGCTTTTCATGATAAATTCATTATCTTTATGAATTCATTAACTCTACAGCTTGCAACTTACTAAACAATGAGATGAAACAATTCGTTATTAGCTCTGAAACAGATGCGATTAGAGAAGTTGAAGAAAGGGTAAGCATTTTAGTACTGTTTTTAGATGCCTGTAATTTAAATTTACTATTATACAAACTGTTCATTGCATTCATGATTAATCATAATTGAATGTCTATTATCAGTGTGACCAAGTCGAAACCGCACGCTTTATCAAGGAGGAAGTTAGAAAGCAATTGAAGCAGTGCCTTGATGAGGCGCTGCAATATTTTTGCTCACCCTCTGGAGCAAAACTAGGGCTTGTTATAGATGGAAAGTGTCTGATGTATGCTTTAGACCCAAGTTTAAGGGTAATGCTCCTCACTTTGAGCTTGAATTGTGTTTCGGTTGTTTGCTGCCGAGTCTCCCCTTTACAGAAAGCACAGGTAGGTTCTTGTTGGCAGCTGTATTGAAACTTATTAATTTTGCTTTCAGTACAGTGTGTGAATAAAAGGTTTGTACAAAAAAAAAGGACATGCTGTACATAAATGATAATTTAAATGCTTTAGACCCAAGTTTAAGGGTAATGCTCCTCACTTTGAGCTTGAATTGTGCTTCGGTTGTTTGCTGCCGAGTCTCCCCTTTACAGAAAGCACAGGTAGGTTCTTGTTGGCAGCTGTATTGAAACTTATTAGTTTTGCTTTCAGTACAGTGTGTGAATAAAAGGTTTGTACAAAAAAAAAGGACATGCTGTACATAAATGATAATTTAAAAGACTAGGAATTTATCTAAATGATAATTGGTTGGGTGTATTTATTTTGGTCAAAGTTTGCAATGTTGACAGATCTCGAGGTTGGTGTCATTACATGTATTTTTCAAAACTTATCAAACTAAACCATGTTTTGATAGTGATTGGTGTGTTGAGGACCCCTTTGCTAAACCTATTTCTCCCTGTATTTTTGCGAGCTTTCTTTGAGTGCCGAAGTTCTTAAGAATGTATAGTCAGAATCAGTTTTCCAATGTAAAAAAATTATATTTGAAAGAGAAGAGGGTACATACGAAATTACTTTTTTTGTTTGCAGGTAACGAGTTTGGTGAAGAGAGGTGCGAGTAAAATAACACTTAGTATTGGTGATGGTGCAAATGATGTTAGCATGATTCAAGCTGCTCATATTGGTATCGGAATCAGCGGGCTTGAGGGGATGCAAGCAGTTATGGCTAGCGATTTTTCAATTGCCCAGTTTCGCTTCCTTGAAGATTTGCTTCTCGTGCATGGACGTTGGGCTTATATTAGATTATGCAAGGTTTGACTTTTTTCTTACTTCAAGGACATCTTAACATTTTTGGTCAACATTATGTATGAGTCCTCATATTATATTTTGCTCGTACGAGGTTTGCCTTTTTTCTGTCCGAAGTATTTCTAAAATTTATGGTTGATCATACTCATGGCTTCTTGTTTTGCAGGTTGTGATGTATTTCTTTTACAAGAATCTTGCATTCTCTTTGACTCAATTTTGGTTCACCTTCAATACCGGATTTTCTGGCCAAAGATTCTATGATGATTGGTTCCAGTCATTGTATAATGTCATATTCACCGCACTACCGGTGATTTTTGTTGGGCTTTTCGATAAGGTACTCCATGCCTTACAATTTTCTTCCGATGGAATCCTGTTCAGTCTGTTTTATGCTTGATTTATGTAAATACCTTGCTTGTTATCCAGGATATCAGTCCATCCCTTTCAAAGAAGTACCCCGAATTATACAAGGAGGGCGTAAGACATATGTTTTTCAAGTGGAGAGTTGTTGCAGTATGGGCCTTTTTTGCCGTATATCAATCTCTAGTCTTCTTCTACTTCATATCTGCTACCTGTTCTACAAGTCTAGATCCATCTGGTAAAATGTTTGGTCTTTGGGATGTCAGCACGATGGCCTACACATGTATAGTAGTAACGGTTAATTTACGTCTTCTCATGATGTGCAATTCAATCACGAGATGGCATTGCATTATTGTTGGAGGAAGCATAGTGGTGTGGTTTCTGTTTATTTTCTTATATTCTGGAATTACGACTCCATTGGACCGCAACGTAAGTCAGAAATCAGGTTTCGTTTTCTTTCTTTCTTTCTCCATTTCGGTTCAAGAAGTGCAGCCAGCTTCTTGATTCTGTTGGCTACTGCAGGATAACATGTATTGGGTCATTTATATATTAATGGGTACATCCTATTTCTACGTCACTCTTCTACTTGTTCCTGTTGCTGCACTTCTGGTAGATTTCCTTTACCTTAGGTAAGCATGAGAAGACTGCAAGTACATCAACTTAATATATTTTCTCTGATACTTTAATATTAGTATATTAAATTTTTTTTCTAAGAAAAAACTTTTTCCAGTGTGCAAAGATGGTTCTTCCCCTATGATTATCAGATCGTTCAAGAAATGCACAAGGACGATATCCACAGTACAGGTCCATCGGAAGTACAGGAATCAAAGCAACAGCTTACACCAGAAGAGGCAAGAAGCAGAGAAATATCTCAGTTGCCAAAGGAAGTATCGAAACACAGTGGGTTTGCCTTTGATTCTCCAGGTTATGAGTCATTTTTTGCTTCACAGTTCGGTAAGTATGTTCCACCAAAGGCATGGGATGTTGCTCGGAGAGCTAGCATGAGGTCTAAGGCAACACCAAAATAAAAACTCAAACATTTGATTGGTCGTTTTTGGTAGTCTAAACTTGGAGAAAAGCTGTAAAAAATATAGTTTTTGGTTCTCGTTATTTTTTTTTTAATTTAAAGTTAAACCGAATTTCACGGTTGACAGTATTGAAGATGGATGTACAGCTACATAAAACAAGAATTAGGTAAATGGGGTAATCAGATTTTTATGTTGGGAAATGTCATATTCTATCACAACTATCAAAGTCTCAATGGTAAAATTGTTTAAATATTGTGAAGAAATAATTATTTGAATAAAATATGATGATTGCTACAGTAATTTTAGGAATTTGTCACGTCTTCACGGCGATTTAAAAAAAACGTATTGACTGCTTGGTGATTTCATATGCTGCTTGCATGCATGTTACCTGACAGCGATGCGTAGGCGAGGCAGGGGCACTAACACTAGGTTATTCGCCATGCAATTAGAAGAATAAAAAAAATCTATCGACTGAGATTGAGAAGAAGGAAAAACCAAAAGAAGCCGAACGTTCTCAAGCTACGTCTACACTTATCCGGACATATTTTTGATAAAATAGAGGTTAAATTTGGACTCTGGGCATCTAAACGAAGCAACCGTTATAATTTAGAGCTTTAGCCACCATCGGTAACCGCGAATGGCGCTCGACGGTGGTGATTGATAAGTGGCATTCGACGGTGGATGGCTTACTTCTTAGTGAGAAAGGAGAGCGAATTTTCTTTAGAGAAAGAAACATACAAGTAAATAAGAAAAGTGAAAAAGGATAAAAATATGATATTTAAACCCTCTCAAACGATACCGTTTTAGATACCCAACCTAATGTTTGCTTACACCTGGCCCAGATCCAAGGTCCGGATCCACGTGTTTTGGAACTTTAGGTAAATAACTCGTGTGTTCCTTCTGCTTTTTTTATTTATTATAATTGCATCATTTTTCTGGTTTGATTATTATTTTAACCTAATTAATTTCTAATTTCATTTAATTTAGTCATTTTACTCGTATTAGTTATCATTTTGGTCAATGTGAGTTCTTTTTTGGGTAATTTAATCCTAATATGTAAAATAATTTACTTATTCGACTTTTTTAGGCATTATTCATTTTTAATTATTAGTTATTAATCAAATATATATTACCAACATCCAATTTTGTGTACCAAATTTTTTAGCATTGTAAAGGGTGCTTTAACCTTCTTTGATTTTGTTAACTGTTATATCAATTCTTCCGTTAAATATTAACCCATAGTCTGACAATGATTAAACATTTAGATAATCTAATTGACAAAATTGAAAGATCGGTAGTCAAAATAAAAAAGGTAATAATTAAGTGGTGATAGGTAGAATTACCCCAAAAATAGTAACATGATTCCTTTCAAAATATATCACCAATTTTCAATATTTTTTAAATTGTGGCATCAACAATCCTAAACTGGTGCTAAATCGCAACGTTTAAGGCGATTAAAAGGACTGAGTTGATCGTGATTATTGAAATGAGAGTTTATTTTATACATGACTCAAACGAGGGCTTACTTGGCTTTTTGGCACAATTAGAGGGGACTATTTTGTATACAAGCGTATGAAGCATCTGCATCTAAAATCCAAATCTGGTGTCTGGGAAACATAAGAAAAAACAAACAGCAGACAAATGACAACAAACGATAGCAACTCAGACATGGATATGCTAACTTATTTTCTCAAAGCTTTTTTTCATATATGTGGAAGATATGATCACAATTCCCTATCTATGTTCATATATGTGCAGAGATGTAAGTGTTAAATGCAGCTACTTTCCCAAGAACACGAGATCAAAGAGTCCAGGTGACATTGCTTACCAACTAGAGACTACAAAAACGTGTAAGCTTTCAGTTAAAGGTTGCAGGAAAATCAATTACGCCATTCATTTAAGGAAAATTACTTTCAACAATTTTCACTGCAACATCGAGATTTTAAAAAATTAAAAAAAAATAATGAAAAAAAAGAGCAAATAAAGCTTTACCTGTAGACGTTGTTTTATGCTAAATTACTTCAAAGCCTCAATAATCAACAAAGTCGGTTTCATATTAAAGGGCTTGTAAATTAAAACCTAGAGTTAGATTGGATCCTCCCTGTAGAAACTCCAGGCATGGTAATGGCCCGCTTTCTTCTTAAGAATACAACTGAACCACTAATGAGCAGTAAGCCAAAATTAATTCCCTGCACAAATTAGTTCCGAGTATTATGCATAAGCAAAGACATATAATCATCCAAGTCAAGCTACTTCGTCTCTAATTATCGAAGCCAATTTTCCTTTTAAGAGTCGATCAATCAGTGAATTTGAAGTCTCATAGACTTAGTTTCTTAGTGGATAACGCAACAGTATGCACCCTATTGGTATGCACACATAATCGCCAAAGGAAATGTCTGGCTCTGCCGTTCTATATCTTCTAAATTAGGCATTAGCCACAACAAATATAACTGGATTTAACTTAACCAAAAACGTTTATGCCTGTTTTTCTGTTTGCACATATAGTCACCAAGAGAAATATCCTGTCTCGGCTGTTTTATAATTTCTAAATTAGAAATCGGTCACAACAAATATAACTTGGATATTACTTAACCAAACTAAGAATACATGGCCTCCAAGAGTTGTAGATTAATAAAGGGCTAGCTGGAATGGAAAAGAATGCAGAAGTGTGATCAACCCTGGTATGAGTTACTATTTCATGAGAAATAGTTTGAGTTTCAAATGTTTTATGCAGCCAATCAATTCACATATTGTTGGTGTATAGAAGATTGAGATCCAAAAAGCCACAAACAAGAGATCTAAAGCAAAAAAGGAAAGACAGTCACCCCATGTTACTCAGACTTGAGTGTGAGTGCTAGATATGTGCAGATGTCCTATACGGGTATGTTCTATCTTTATAAGTTTTTACAAGAATTAGAGGATCATTAAAGGGTCATAGCTCATACCCATATCTAGACATGTGTTGGACACTGGTGCCAGATATGAGTACTTAAAAAATGAAGAGCCAGAGATACATAGCAGTCAGCTATCCAATTCAAATATAGTTTCAGAATGGTTGCATATATTTCAAAACTCAAGAATAAACACTATAAGTATGCAACCTGATTCGTGTTAGGAGGATAAAGAAGATGATGCTTTTCTGATCAATGAATTACAGAAATCAAAATTGAAAGATAATGATGACCAAAATCTACATACCTCAAAACAGAGTACTGATAACTTCTCTTCATTAAATACAGGTATACAGCTTCTATAGATGATGTAGGCTTGTGCCCTACTCTCCGATGTGGATGAATCATCGAGTAAGCTTCTACGTTTTCTTGAATTCTCACCGATTGCTGAGATTTCAAGATTAGACCTATCCTTTTAGGTTTTTTGTTTATTTTCAGCCTTTGAACCATCATCAGTTTCAACACATTTGAAAGGGATACGATATCCGGTCTCACAACATCGGTATTTTTTGTCGCTCTGAAGATAAAGTAGTACCCTAATGAAACCCTCAAACAATTTACAAATGAAGGAAGAAAAACATAAAGATATAAGCCACAAAGATTACAGAGGGCTATATTCCAAACAAACAAGGCAAAAGATGCATACCGAAAAAAGTTCGAAGGTTAATAGCAACTAAAAAGGCTGTGATCCTAAGGGGCAACCATGCAATTGAAATAAAACAGCTATTTTCAGATTTGAGAAGATAATAACAAGAAAAATTGAAAAGATCACTGATTAGTAGCAAGTCTGCCTAGCAATACAAACATGATATGAATACACATAGAAGAGTTATAACACCATCATGATTAATAATACAAACATGACATGAATACACAAATGTTTCAAAATGTATAATAATACAAACTATTAGCATATTAAAGTTTATACAAACTAAACATCTTAAACACAAATATGATATGGAAAAATACAAAAACAAGACAGGATCTGCGGATTGCAGGGTGTAGCACAAACTTTGCAACAGAACCTTTAAAATGCCTGATCTAATCCATCCTTTCACATGAATGTAAAGGAAGAGCAAATATAGAGATTAAAAACGGTACATTTATTACCTTTTTCACTGAAAATTAGTATCCATTTTAAGTAACTTAAGAAAGCCAACTCCCAGAAAACAAAACAGAAATTAATATTTTGGCATATATTCATACTAATGCTAAATCTACAGCCTTTTATACCGAAGCCATGGAATCCAAAAAATTGGTTAACAAATTGACAAAAATGAAAATGAGATAAAAGAAAGAAAAAAAAACTGGAAAGAAAGAGAACCTTCTCAGAGTAAAGGCAAGGAACACACGGACCAAAGGGACAGCAATCGAAAGTATCATTACTTTCTTTCGAAATTTCTTTGAAGCTCATAAAAATTCTGTGTCCGATTCTTTCACTGCATAAAGTAAACAAAAACTAGGGTTTAAAGGTCAAATTAGATCAGATTAAGTTATATGTTATATATTGTATACAGAATAATAATTAAAACACAGAAGGGAGGAAATTGGATATTACTTTTGATGATCAATTGAAGAAGCCGAGGGTGAGAGAAGAAGGAAGAAAGGCAAGGAAAAGAACAACAGAACAGCGGATGAATTCCAGGATCTCATTCCTTTGTGTTCTTTTCCTCTTCAATACGCTTGTAGTTTTTCCTATTCTTCTTCTTCTTTGCAACAGTTAATACATATGTATGTATTAATAATTTAGGGTAAACTGTATTCTTAGTCGCTCATCTATTAGTACATTTCTGTTTTAGTTTTTAGTTAGTTAATTATATTCTAACTTTTAGTTATATTTTAATTATTTATATTAAAAAATTAATAATGATACACGAACCAACGATCTTGATGGTAAATAGTTTGTTGTTATTTCTTAAGATATCGAGTTCAAACATCAAGAATACCACAAGTTTGTACAATCAATATTAAATGATAAAGAATTATCTATGAACAATTATTACTTTATATTTATCTTAAATTAATAAAAAATTAATAATAATTTTTATATATTTATAATAAAATAATATCATATCATCATCATATTAAATGTCGTCACCAATGTAAAATATGTCAGAAGAAGGATGTCATATACTCTTTTCATATATATATATATATATACTCAGTAAACATATCTAAAAGAAAACCCTCGTTTAGTCCAGAAAAAAAGAGAGGGAACAAAACTTGTCCCTTGGGAGAGAAATAATAATATTTTTGATAAATTTCTTTTACTGATTTTATTAAAAAATTAATAAAATTGATAACATCTTTTTTTAATTATATATTAAAACCGTCATACCATAAAACTTACAACATACTTCAACAATATAACTTCTTAGTGAATTTTCATTCGTACAAACTATTTAGTTAATTATTTTTTTTATAATTTAAATCATCGTCAATCATCCCTTATCCATTATACGTCAACAGTTTTTATCTCTTCCTCAACGATCTACATCTTTTTACACATTCTATCCATTTTTCTATTACTCTCGTTATTTTCCACCCAAATTTGATTATAATAATATTTCTAAATTTTATTTAATAATATGGATTTGAATATAAAAATACTTTTAACATTTCAGTAATATATAAATAATAAAGTAAATGTTTCTCGTATTTTTATATCGTCCTTTTCTTTTTTTATGGTTTTTGTTTAAGTGACAGAAATATTAATTTTAATATTGATTATCGGTTGTTGGTGATTATTATTTTTCTTGTTCTTTTTTATATTGTGTCTTCTGCTCTTGTGACATAATTTTTCTTTGTTTTTTTGGCACGTTTTTCTCTATTCTTGTAACACACTTTTTCTCTGTTCATGTGGCTTTAGGTACGTTTTTCATATACTTCTAAGGTCATTATGGTACTCGCACAAAGATCCTCACGACAGGTTTGTCGGTAGTCACGTACTATCAAATCCCCTATTTGGTAAAAGGTTGTTTACTGATATAATCTAAATTGTGTAGCGAAATAATTTACCAAATTGTTTGGTTCGCTTACCACTCCTTTATCACTACGTAAAACGTCTCGTTCAATATAGACAATGAGTTTTATGAAAGTTACGGGGTTCTTTTGATGTTGGACGTCATTCTTAATGGATTATTTCATTTTTTCTTCGTATCTTTAAATTTAATATTTTTATTTTATGTATGAGTTTTTTTGTGATTGTTGTTCATAAGTTTCTTTTTGAATGCGTTATAATTTTGATTTCTCCCGTTATTTTTATTAATAAAAATTCAATTTTAATAATAAAGTAATGGGTGAACTTTTTTAGATAATGGGACTAGAAAAAAATCGTAAAATAGGCCGCCCAAAAGTTATTTTTTGAAATGGGATGAATGCTACGGTAAATAATCGAAGACACATAGTGCTTTGGGCGACACACCAAAGACGCACTGCACTTCATGCGAGACTAAGAGTTTCAAAACTAACAAGGGGTTATCGAAACCATAAGTGTGATGTTTTGACAAGGCAAAATAGAGCTACTAGTAAAGGAGTTTCATAAGTGTATTTTTTTTAATATTATTGTAGCATTTACCTCATTTCATCAAATGATTTTTGGGTGTATTATCTTAAGAAATTTTTTTAGATGCCTTATTTGAAAAATTTTGTCAAAGTAATGCGTTAAATCAAATCAAATATAGGTTTTGTTTAAAAAAAATTAAAATTGGATTATGTAAAAGAACAAGTTTATATTATTCAATTTAAGGTATTCACGTACATAAAAATGACAAAATGGTACGTGAGACCTTCATATTTTAAAAAAAATCAATACGACCCTTATCATTTTTTTACAACTAATGTGGTCTTTTGACTAACAATTTACGTCATTGATTGTTAAGGTACTGAATTGACCCTTCATAGTGTTAATGTGGTAATTCACGGTGGCAAGTGACGTGGTTGATGATATAGTTGATGGGCTAAATTATTAATTTTTTGTCGAGTTCGAGGGTCAAATTTATTTATTTTTTCTGAAAGTTCATGGGCTATTTAATTTTTTTTTTTGGAAAATTTATTTGAAATTTGAAATTTAAACTATACAGATATGAAAAAAATATATAAATATTAAAAATAAAAATTAAATTACTAATTTTTTTAAAACATATATATTAATTGGAAATGTTATTGTTAAATGATTCATTCAATTTAAAGACAAAATCTAATGTGGATTTTTTTATTTTTTTAGCAGTATAATCGTATTGTTATGTTCGTACATGTCAATTTTAATGTGAGTTTTTTTTTTCATTTTATAGAGACAAATTTTATATTCCTTGAAAAATTAAAAAAATGACACAACGGTGTGTGAGGCCCTTGTCATGTTATATTCACTAAAACACTATTAATTGTATAACTAATTTTTGAATATTTTTAATTATATATTTTATGACAATTTATACATATATTTTAATTCTGTAGTTTTAAAATTTTAATTTTTATAAGATTTTATAGTATTTATTTAATTTTATAAAAATTTAGTGAAATGAAATAGAAAGACTTTTAGAGGTTTTTTTTAATAGAAGTTACTAGTATTATTAAAAAAGTGAAAATATCTAAAACTACAATAAGAGTTTACCTCTATCATTGTAAACTAAATATATAATTTGAACATTTTCCTATAACATTGATACTAGCCACTTTAGATCATATAAGGATCAAAGATGGAAAAGGTTAAAAACTTAACCAAAAGACTCGAACAAAAATAAATACGAATAAATTTGATTGCACTGGCAAATGAATCACAAAAGGAAATTAAGCTATTGAAAGACCACCGAGAACCGCAAATAAGAACTGAGAGTCGTGAGAAACTATCCATGAGCGCAAAATCGTACATCTAAATTCAATCCAAAGGTCAATAGAAGGAAAGATCAACAAGATCTCAAATAAGCATCATCTCAATCAGTCGTGACATCGTCAAATCAAACCCTGAGAAAACATAAACAAAAGAACAGCCAGACGACTGAGGAAAAAAACGAAATACATGTCATAAAGACATAATTATTCTTATTAAAAAAACTAAAAAAGAATAAAGAGAAAAGAGAACTGACGGTCAGCAACCAGCATCAAAACAGGTACTGCCTCCAAATAAACAAAATCAAAGAAGAAAAAATTGATATGATCAATAAAAAAACGACACAAACGTAAAGAAAAAAAAAGTAGTACGGAAGAGCGGCTAGGGTTTCATGTTTAGATTTTAAGATAATTAGATGTAAATATATAAAAATAAAATTTATATAGGATGAACTAGTTTAAGTTTATATAAATAAAAATTAGGTTAAATTAGACGTAAAAATAATGATATACTTTTAATTTTTACTAATTTATTTTATATTTACTTTTTTGAATAATTTTTTATTTTAAATTAGAAATATTTTTACTTAAAAAATCAAATAAGGCCATTAGCTTTTAGAGAAAAAAATCAATTTAACCCTCAAACTCTTGACTAAAAGATCAATTTAGCCCATTTACTACATCATCAACCATATCACCTACCACTGTGAATTGTCACATTAACATTATGAAGTGTCACATCAATATCTTAATGGCCAACGACGAAAATTATTAGTCAAAGGGTTACATTAGATATATTTTCTAAGTTTGAGGGTCACATTAATTACAAAAAAAATAACGAGGACCACATTAATTTTTTTCAAAAAGTACGAGAAACTCAAATACCCTTTTACCAAAAGAATTAAACTTATTCATATAATTTTATTAAGATAACACGGTGACTTTTAAATGTGGTCAAATGTAAATAATAATATTTATTTAAAATCATATTTTTTTGTCATATGTATGAAAAAGAATCACGGTGTAATTCGCACAAATTCTATTGAATATCACAACAAATACCATAATTCAGAAAATAAATTTTACTCTATCTTATATAAATAAAAAAAATTCTCAACCATTATTCAAGCAATATATATATATATATATCTCGGGTGAAACGACACTGTTTCGAAGGGGAGGGTGTCTGCGTGTTTTGATAAATGGGTAAATAGCAGCATAGGTCCCCGTAGCTTCGTAATCTTCCTCCGTGTTTCTCATTTGTTAGGGGACAATTACATTTTAGGTCCCTCAATATTTTGTAATGTTTGTAATCTGATCATTATAATAAAAATTTCATCATTCCATTTTTAACTCATATTTTATTTTTGTTGTAATTTAGACCTTATTTCCTTTCAAATATTTTTGTGTTTATATTTGTGCATGGGCCATCCTACTTTAGTTTATTTACACACATGCAATATATTTTCTTGTTTATTTATTTTAGTCACTAGTTACTGTGTAAAGGAAATGCATGTTCTATTTATGTTTGTAATCCATGTACTTTGGCTATGTATGCATTTTGGCCACTGATTTTAACTTTGTGTTGACTTTGCTTTTATTTCCCGTTTAGTCCTTGATGTTTTGACCACATTAAGTTTTAATTCTGGTAATTATTACATAATAGGGTCTGTAATTTATATTTCATTCTGTTTTAGTCCTTGGTGATGTTATATGTGAAATTTGATATTTTTGTTATTGGCTCTCATTTTTTTCATGTTTATATTTTAGTCACGTATTTAGGTGCACATTGGTATTATTGATTCCATCTTTTTTATATATATATTTCATTTTGATTTATAAAATATTTAATTGGAAATTTTCATTATGAGGGAAATCTATGAAAATATCTACCAAATAAAAGGGAAGGTATATTTTCGAGGATTTTTCGCATAAATGTTTTTTATTCAATAGTTTTCTTTACTTTACGGTTATTTATTTTGAATTTTTTACCTCTTTTCTTTTTTATTTTGTTTCATTTTAGTTTTTTTTTTGTAAAAAATGTGAAATAATGTCTTTTGTGAGGGGAATTTATTTAGGTGTCTCCTATATACAAAGTAAGTTAGATAGATTTTATTAAATTACAGTTATTTATTTTGTTAATGTCACCCAGTGGAAGTCCATTAGACTTTAAAAATTTTATTTAATTTGTGGAAAGGTGATGAAATTCAATTTTGAAAATAATTTGATTTTGGAGTCGCCACCAACCTTTAAGTTAGGTAGGTTGGAAACCTTAAACGACAAAAAAATATGATATGTGTTTTACCAAAGATTTGTTTTTAAGAGTTCGGGAGTCGATTACGTGTGGGGAAGGATGAGCACCCCCACAATGCCCAAATTTTGGTACCTAAACGATTATATGTTGTTTAAATATTGGGAATTACAAACTCAAAAATATATTTAAATTACGATCCTTTTATTCATTTGACTTTATTCAAAAAGTGTTAACTTTCGGATAACGAATGCCCTTTTGTATGAACAATCTTCGAGAATGCACTTCCTTTGCAATTAGGAGACGTTCCCATAAATTTCCCTCACAAAAGATGTTATTTCACATTTTTTTACAAAAAATAAAATAAACTAAAATAAAACAAAAAAAATGAAAAGAGGTAAAAAAAATCAAAATAAATAACCATAAAATAAAGAAAATTATTGAATAAAAAACATTTATGCGAAAAATCCTCGAAAATATACCTTCCCTTTTATTTGGTAGATATTTTCATAGATTTCCCTCATAATGAAAATTTCCAATTAAATATTTTATAAATCAAAATGAAATATATATAAAAAAGATGGAATCAATAATACCAATGTGCACCTAAATACGTGACTAAAATATAAACATGAAAAAAATGAGAGCTAATAACAAAAATATCAAATTTCACATATAGCAACATCAAGGACTAAAACATAATGAAATATAAATTGTATACCCTATTATGTAATAATTACAGGAATTAAAACTTAATGTGGTCAACCCAGTAAGGACTAAACGGGAAATAAAAGCAAAGTTAACACAAAGTTAAAATCAGTGGCCAAAATGCATACATAGCCAAAGTACAGGGATTACAAACATAAATATAACATGCATTTCCTTTACACAATAACTAGTGACTAAAATGAACAAAAAATAAAATATATTGCATGTGTATAAATAAACTAAAGTAGGATGGCTCATGAACAAATATAAACACAAAAATATTTAAAAGCAAATAAGGACTAAATTACAACAAAAATATTTAAAAGCAAATAAGGACTAAATTACAACAAAAATAAAATAAGAGTTAAAAATGGAATGATGAATTTTTATTACAACGACCAGATTACAAACATTACAAAAGACTGAGGGACCTAAAATGTAATTATCCCCTAAAAAATAAGAAACAAGGAAGAAGATTACAAAGCTGTAGGACCTATGTTGTTATTTACCCATTTATCAAAACATGTTGACACCCTCCCCATCGAAATGGTGTCGTTTCACCCAAGGTATATATAGCAAACCCAAGGCCAAAATTTGGCCAACTCCTCTCATTTGCCCAGTTCCTTAAACCAAATGAAGAGAGAATTTAAAAACTCTCTCAAAAATCCTATCAGAGAAGCTTAGGGGCCGCCGTCTTGGTGGCTTTTCACGGCGGCTTATGGTGGCCCACGGTGGCAGGAGGGACCCAAACTTCCCCAAACGTTTCCCCTCCTTGGCCTCAACCCAAAAATCAAGTCTAAATCCCCTAAAGCACAACCCTTCAAACACCCCAAAACAAAACTAACCGATCACCTCAAAACTAAAAACGAAAATCACCCCAAGGTAAGAAATTTACCTTCGATAACGGGTATTAAAGCACTGGTGAGGCGATGATGGTGGTTGATGTACCAAAGGTAAGGGTTTTTTCTTTATTTTTCAGTTTTATTTTATCTCTCGATTTTTCTCTTTTTGGTTGCTCTAAGATTTCCTCTGTTTTTTCTCTCTCTTCAAATCCCCCTCAAAATGGTTGTTGTGTGTGTGATTTAATCTTTTCTTTTGGGTGAGATGATAAAGTCTAGTGAGTAGGGTTCGATTTTTCTCTGATTTTAGGAGAAATCTCTGATTTTTAAGATATAGGGCATTTTTTAATTTGGGGTTTTGATTTGGTTCACTATTTCTCTGACTTGATGACTGTTTGATGCAGGTCTGGTCACTGTTAGGTCGGATTACTAACGACGGTAGGTCAGGATGGCTCAGCGGCAGCTGACGCGCGCGGGGAGATGGTCGGTGAAGCGCACGAGCTGGTGGGGAGTCGAATAACCACTAGCGGCAACTACTATTGCTATAAATGAAACTCTAATATTTAGGGTTACTGATTAGGCCAATTTGGGTCGGTTTATTTAACCCTCTTGGGTCGAGTCTTGTACTACTAGGTTGCCTTGTATTTATGTTGGGGTGCTGGGTCACTAATTGGGTTTCGGTGAAGCCTTCAAAATGTAATAAAATAGTAATAATAATAATAATAATAAAAAAATGAGAACCAGACAAAAATGAGTGTCTACAGCAAGGTTCTTGGCTTTATCTCGACCCTTATTTGATGTCATAGAGGATATAAGGGCAGCGAATAGACAAGACCCGTAGATAAGTGAAATTAGAAGATGAGTAACAGAGAGCGTTGATGTTGATCCTAGATACTTTGACCATGAAGGGATAATCTTGATCCAAGGATGAATTATGGTTCCAAGGAAACGGCTTTACATTCGATGTTACTGAGGGAGTTTCATAGTTCAACTGTAGGAGGGCATGTAGGAGTCAACCGTATATTTCAGCAGTTGAGTGGAAATTTTTATTGGGCTAGTATGCGAAAAGATGTCCAACAATTAGTTAATGAATTCCAAATTTGTCAGCGAATTAAAAGTGACAAATTAGCACCAACAATCGGTTCAGCTGATTGTACCACCGAATGGCTGAACCAGACAGACTTTCCTGGAAGCAATGAATCAAGAGTTGACCATTTCCTACATATAATGTCATCTTCCGACAGAACATGGTAATTTGAGCTGAAGGGCAACTGTTCCCATCAAATTTCTCAAACTTGGGGACTTTGAATTTTGGTGGAAGCACCAAATCTAGGACTAGGCTTAGTTCCAAGGCATCGACTCCATAGTAATCATGGCCCCCCTTAACCACCTACATTTGGTGTTCTAGCAGCTTGATTTTTTTATTCCATATTCTTTTTCTTATCTTCTTTATCAAAATACGGTATATGATAATCACTTGATTATTCTCATGGTTGGATATAGAAGTCTGTACTTTTATAGCAGATGAGGCCTTTGTTTTTGCAGAGGATGAGTCCCCTTGAAGTCCTGGTAAGATTCCAGGTGGAACAACCATTTGCGAAGTAGGTGGCATAGTTACCCCTTCAGATGTCCCTGCCCCAGGTGCACTTTCCTGATTCAGACCAGATAACTTGGCAATAATTTGATCAACCAAAGACTCTTTGCTTTTGGGGATCGAGTCCAAAATGTTTTGGTTATTGTGCCTTATTTTCTCTTCTAGCTCTTTTTGTAATCTTGGCATGTTCTATTCGAGTTGAGCTATCTTTGCTTCCATTTTCTTCTTCTTTGAATGGGTGTTATGAGGATAATGTGTGTCCAATGCTTGGGGTGGTATGTCCAGTGTTTGTTCCTTTTGATGAGACATTTTCTGTTATTTTCAAGAAAAAAATAACAAAATGCAAAAATATTTATAAATGCATGATGCATGAAATGTTCGAGGCATTGATCCAAAAACACGTATGTTATTATAAATAATCTTTATTGGGACAAAAGTGTCATTTCTTAAGAGACAAAAACATCTTAAAGGTACATTCTGACTAAGTCTTTTAGATCCCGAATAGTTTCTAACAGGTTGACTAGTCTTCTGCCTTCGTCTGTCACCGGTTGAATACTCTGTCGAACCACTCTGACTTCTCTGGCTAAATCGTACAAGTATCAAGCTATTTTTTTAATTGTTCCAAGAAGTCTCGAATGATTACATCTCTGGCTTTCACTCTCTACTGAGCCTGCTCCCAACGAAAACACCATTAGAAACCTCCATCGAAGGGAACTATCTTAAGCTCACTTGCTTGTTTCTTGAACCCGTCCACAATGGCCTCAAACTCAGCTATGGTTTTGCCATCCTGTTATTGCTATTTTTAAAGAGACTTCTCCAGATCAGCTACCTTGGTCTTTAGACTTTTGTTCTGGTGCTGGTTGTCTAACAAACGTCTTTGGACAACCTTTAGTTGTTCTTTCAGGGTCTCTTTTTCATCTTGTCCTTCAATCTTCACTTTTCCAGTATTCAGAGGATATTTTCTTGATACCCCTTTCTCAACAGACTTCATTTTGTTCTTTTTTCTAATTTGTCTGCTCGATCCTCTTGAGTCTTTTCTGACCATAGCCGGAACTCTGTGTTTTTCACCTCTTGCATTACAACCCCTTTGTCCATTAATGAAAATTATTTATATTTAACGAACACATTTTTGTGGATCAACACCTCTTTTGAATGATGTAAATGATAAAAATAAAATAAAATAAAAAGGAAAAAAATAATAATCAGAATAATAATGAAAAAGAGTCCTACCCCACATACTTATTATTCCTACCCGGACATGATCTCTATCTCGCATGTTGATCTTGAACAAGCCCTAACCACATAAACTTCTAGTTCACATGCTCTGAACAAAATAAAGCAAGAAATATTCTTAAAACAACCTAGGCTTTGAAACGAAGTTTTGGGGTAGGCTTTAATTCTCTATAGTCTCCCAATTTAAGTTCTAAAGAAGGTACCTGTGTTCTCGTTGTTGGTGCCCTCTTGGACTTGTCAGACCCTTTGTCCTAAGCCCATTACAAGCTTATGTGGACCAAGTTAAACTCGAGAGGACACATTCCATTATGTCTATACGAAGAATAAATTCACACGAAGACATAAGGTATATGAATCTCGAAGGTTACTTGCTAGGCCTATACGGAGAATAAATTTCCATGAAGGCGACACTTTCACCTCCACTTAAGAAAAGGTTTGGAGCTCGGGAATAAAGCTAGAGATGATTTTTTTTAAATCTGAAATCATTGAAAAACGTTAGTACAACTATTTATTTGAAAAATAATCAAAGATAAACAATAAGTATAGAATAAATAAATTAAAATTTAAACTTATTATTTTCGCTTAAAAAGACAACCAAAAATTAATTCTGACCTGACTCACTTACTTGTCTCCAGCAAAGTCGCCAATCTGTCGCAACCGTCTTTCGGGTGGGCCCGGAATGGGGCTTCAACTAAAATAGAACATGTTAGAGTCACCACCGATCATTTAAAAAATATTTAGGTTGATCGGACACCATCTTACCTAATCTGCATTTTTACCATAAATATGTCAGATTCGGGAGTCGGTTACAATCAAGAATGGATTAGCACCCTTGAACTGCCATTTCGGTACCATTTTAATTTATCGGTTGCCTTAATTGCAAAAAATAAAATTTAAATTTAAAGATTCGATTCAAATTACTCACCTTTGATTGGTTAAAGTTGTCCCTAAAAAGTCAAAATAAATATTAAATGGTGAAATATATATATATATATATATATATATATATAATAATAATAATAATAAAAAGTTAAATAGAACAATGTTAAAAGCAAAAAAGAAAAGAGAGAAAAAATATAAAAATAAAATAAGAAAAATATTAAAATTAAAAAAATGAAAGATGAAAAAAACGTTAAATTTTGAAAGAATAAAGAAAATGGGAAAAATGTTAAGAGAAAGGAAAAAATGTTAATAAAAATACAAAATTGAAAAATAAATAAATAGATAGATAAAAAAAATTAAAGGATCAAATTGAGCTAAATTGAAATTTAGGGATCTAATTAATACTTAAAATGAGCTACCAAAAAACAAAAGGTTAGGGGGACTAAATAGTAAAATATAATAAATATAATGATGGATTAAATTGAATTAATTGAAAATTCAGAGACAAAATTGCAACAAGTGACCAAAATGAATTACGCATCAAAAGTATAGGGACTATGTAAATAATTTAAGAATATCCTAATTACAACCTAGTCCCTCAGTTATAAATACCCCTAAAACTAAAAAAATAACATTTTCAACCAAAACCCAAAAAAAACTCTCAACCTCCCAAATACTCTCCCCTCTCCTCATCCAACCCCGATGGCTCGCCACTGTCCGGTGTCCATCGACCGCGGCTCTCTGCTGCTTTGGAGACCGGGAAAAAAAATTCCCCAAAACGTTCATCTCGACTCCCTCAATACCAATCTGAAACACGATTGCCCAAAAAGGTACTACACCGGCGTAGATCTACGAAGAAACGTTCTAATTTTTACCTTTTTTGGGGGGGAACATTTCATTTTCCGATGCCTTTGTCTCTCCGACGATACTCCTATGTGCCTCCGAATGGTCGTGATGTAACAAAGCTTCGAGCTTTGTTTTTTTTACTCTTGATTTGGACTATTTTTCTTTATTTTTGCTTTTGCTTTTGCTTTGGCTCGGTTTCTGTGTTGGTATTTTATGGTATTTTGCACTTTGGTATTTTGCTGCTTGATTTTTTCTTGGGCTCTTATTGTTCGGTTTCTTTCAGATCGTTGTCGTTCCCTTTTTTAGCCTCCCCGGTGAAACATTTATAGTCCCCAGTCGGGGTTGTACTTCGTTTGCTTCGAGGTTTGTTTGCCCCCGTTTCCCGATTAAATCAAGATGGCTGATGTTGTTGCTGAAAACTCGGGATGGTGCGGTCTTGGGATGCCCCTATTCGAACGCCGAGAATCTCAGTCGGTGCGTTTTAGGATGTTTGTAACCTTTTGGGGTTTGACTACTATGCAATGCTAATGCTTAGGTTTCATAAACCCTAATATGTTGGGCTAGTTCAGGCCCATTTTCCTCCAAACTGGGCTTGCTTTGCTGGGTCAGGCTGGCATGGCTCGGTTAGGCTTCATTGGATTGTTTGGACTTAGTGGACCCTAAAAAAGAAAAAATAACAAAAGAAATGAAAAAGAAATAAATAAAATGAAAATGAAAATTACATATTATATATATTTAAAAATGTTTTCAAAATCATATATTATATATATTTTCGAAAATGTTTTCTAAATTATATATTATATATATTTTTCAGAACTTTTTCAAAATGTTTTCAAAAATGTTTTTCAAAACTATATATTATATATGTTTTCAAAAATTTGTTTTCAAAACTATATAATATATATATATTCAAAACTATATAATATATATATTTTCAAAAATTATTTTCAAAACTATATAATTTATATATATATTCAAAAATTGTTTTCAAAACTATATATATTTTTTTCAAAAATTGTTTTTTTAAAGTATATATTATAAAAAATCATTTTCTAAAAACTATATATTATATTTTTTTTCAAAAATATTTTCAAAAACTATACTATATTAATATATATATATATACTAAATAAGCCCTGGACGAAAATGGGTGTTTACAATATGTATAAACTATAATACTTTATAGTTTATATATGAACTATTGAACTATATATAAACTACATAGTTTATTAATATAAATTATATAGTTTATATATAAATTATATATGAATTACATATAAACTATACAATTTATATTTATATAATATGTATAATTATAAATTATATATACTATGCATAAAATATATAGTTTATTAATATAAACTATATAGTTTATATATATACATATAGTATATATGGTTAAGGTTTAGGGTTAATTTATGGAATTATATATAAACTATATAGTTTATAGATAGTAGTATTTAAACTATATATAAACAATATATACTAACTTATACTATATGTAAACTATATATACTATATAGTTTACATATAAACTATATATATAAACTATGTAAACTATATAGTTTACATATGAACTATATATATAAACTATGTAAACTATATAGTTTACATATGAACTATATATATAGTTTATTAGTGAATTATATAAACTATTTATATAATATATTATATATATATATATAAACTATAGTTTATATTTATATACTACATACTATAGTTGATATTTATATACTATATATTATATATATAAACTATATATATTGTATAGTATAATTTACATATGAACTAAATATAAAAACTATATAAACTATAGTTTATATATAAACTATATACTATAGTTTATATTTATATATAATCTATATAAACTATATAGTTTATATATGAACTATAATTTACATATGAACTATATATAAACTAGAGTTAAACTATATAGTTTATATATGAATTATAGTTTACATATAAACTATAGTTGATATTTACATATGAACTATAGTTTACATATGAACTATACATATAGTTTATTAGTGAACTATATAAACTATTTATATAGTATATACTGTATATATAAACTATAGTTTATATTTATATACTATATTATATATATATATATATATATATATATACTATATATACTATATAGTATTATTTATGTAGTATTCAAGTGTGATAAAATTAACTTATTCATTTATAAATTTTTTGTTTTAGTATTTGTTATGTTATTCAAGTTTCAAATCTTGAATAAGTTCATCATTTCAACTAATATATATTTATTTTAAAATTTTAAGTTAAGTTATACTTAAATTATTAATCAATTTTCACATTTTAACTCAATTTATATAATCTAATAAAATCATGTTCAATAAGAAAATATCTAAATTTAATTTAATGATTATAAATAAAATTTATAATATAAGAATTATAAATAATATAAAGAATTGGAATTAATATAAAACCAAATTTATAATATACAAATTATAATTAATATAAAAACTAAATTTCAAAAAGTAATCATATTAATTTAATTATCAAAAGTTTATTATAAATTTAAAATAACATAATTATATAATTATATTAATTGTAACTTATTACTTATAAGTTAGGTAAATATCATATCAATTCAACAACATGTCAGATCATTTATAGGTTGAGTCAATTACAGGTCAGGTTGAAAACAGGCTGGGTAATACCAGTTATTTACCAGGTCAATCTCGGGTTCGGGTTCATATCAGACGGATGCAGTTCGGGCACGGGTATCATATTCTCGGTTCAATTCGGGTTTAGGTCGTTCTCAGGTCGGGTTCAAATCCACAATTTCCAGTCCAACTCAGGTTCAGGTCAACACCAGTTCCGACTCAAGTCAGTTTTGGATCGCTACAGTTCAGGTCAAAAACAGTTTTGACTCGAGTTAGTTTCAGTCTGTTTTACAGATCGAGTCATCTTTTTACACCCCTAGTTGTGGAAACTTGGTGGAAGCCAGAGGGAGGTGAATTACATAATTTACAAGGGTGAAAATACCTCTTTGATCCCTCACAGTTGGCCAATTTGGTCCTATCTTAAAAAATAAAAATTTAATTCTTGTGGATTTCAAAATTAATGACATCAATTTTATATTCCATTATTTAGTTGTGATCTTAAAATTTTAACAAACTAAATTTTCAATACTTGTAGAGCAGATAAATTATATGTTTGTATTTTTAGAATTCGGTAAAATTTACATATTGTGTAATGATTTATAACTATATTTATTGTTATATCAATTAAAATTACATCAAAAGTATAATAATAAATCAAATTAAATATATAAAAATGGATTAATGCATATTTTCATTATGAGCTTGACTTTTTGGATTCATTTGAAAGCTGTCCTATTCATTACTGTGTAAAATTTTATTAACCTATCAACCCTAACTGATCAGTAAATACCATTTTTCTTTGGAAATGAACCCTTATACTTGCCGGTTAAATAATGTGTTTAAGTTTAAAAAGCTAAATTATTTCTCAAACAAATGAATCTATATTACCATTCAGCTCTGGTATTAATTTATATTGAATTTAAACAACACAAAATTTGTGAAGGCAGCTTAATTAGCTATGTCAGTTGAGTAATAAAGAATAAAATATTAAGCCATCCAAGAAATTCACTGTGGTTGAATTTAAGGAGTTGTCCGGTAATAAAAATAAATATGTTTTTTCTAATAATTTAAATTTCAATAATATCATTTATAAGATATACGTAAATTTTATTTAAATTAAAAATAAAATATATTTTTCAACTCATATAAGATAGGATAACATGAGTATCTTTAATCGTCCAACAAATTAAAAGATCTCACCGATGATTTCAACAATAAAGTAATATAATATTTATAGTCAATTTTAGTAATTTTTTTGTTTGATAAAAAAACACTTGCCGAACCCCCATGTAAGGATAAACATTAGGATTAAGCTGTCTAATTTTAAAATTGAGAAGGATTCATGAACAATTTAAACAAACATAAAATGGAGTTAGAACTTAATGTATATAACTTCAAAAATGATAATAATCTAATAAATATTTAAACAAAAATGGATTAAAATTTAATACAGTTCATATATGACTTAAAAGAAGTAACAAAACCCAAAAATTTGGGGGACTCGGAACTTAATTTAATTAATTGTAAAACTAATAGTGCCCTAAAAGATAATTAAATCCTAAAAGATGAGGGCTCCCTGATCTATGCAGTTTCATCCCTATCTCTAGATTTTGAAAAAGAAAATACTCACGTGCCTTTAAATTTGAACAGAATCACATAAACTCCTTTAAGATATATATATGAATTAATTCTTTAGCAAAAACAGCATTATTATTGTTTAATGACATCTATCTATTTATCTATTATTGCTTCCCAAGATCATCCAATTAAAAGCAAAAAACGAGAAACAAACACTATAAAAAATAAGGTCTAACTACATGGTTCATCACTTATCTTTATGCTTTGTCCACTTTTACTCATTCATTTCAAAAAATAAAAAATAGAAAAACAATCATTTTCGTTTATATTTAATTAAGATGTGATTACTTTCATTTTCAATTTAATTAAGATGTGGTCACCACAAGTTAATTGTCGTTAACATATTATGTGACGTGGTATTTTGGTACAATAACACATTTAGTCCATGTTATTTATATATTCTCTCAATTTAGTCTTACTTTTAGTAAATTAAAATAAGTTTAATCATTCAATCGAATGATACCACGTGTCACTTGTCACCATTCGGTTGAAGGATTAAATTTATTTTAATTTAATATATTTATTTTCCACCAAAACTTTGAAAAATTAGTCCTCCAACCGAATGGTGACACGTGGTACTAGTGACACGTGACATCATTCGATTGGAGGATTAAATTTATTTTAATTTACTAAAAGTAAGACTAAATTGAGAGAATATATAAATAATAGGGACCAAATATGTGATTATGTCAAAAATATTTAACGACAGTTAACTCGTGATGACCACATATTAATTAAATAAAAACGAAAGTAACCATATATTATGTTTTTTTTAAATCAGTGAGGAAAAGTGGACAAAACACAAACATAAGTGATCAACCATGTAGTTAATCCAAAAAATAAATAGCATAAAGAGTAATCTCGTTCAGTTAATTTGATTACACATAATTTAAACATGCGCATTTAATAGTAGTCTAGTTCAACGTATGTACTAATTTATCAGAAAATGAATGTTTTCGGACTTATTTATTAATTATTTTATAACAAGGATTAGTTATTTAGAAGAAAAGTTTGGTGATAAAAAGAGATGAATTATAATTTTATATATTTTAATGTAAAAACTTAATAATTTGTCTATATATATATAAACTCGTGTTGTAACTTGTAAGTTAGGATGATCAAAATATTCCAATTTGGTTGGTACTTTGCATTCATATATCAAAGAATTTTATGATTTAAAAAATTCACAAAATTGTAATTTCAAAAAATATATTTATAATTTGAAAATTAAATTAAGAAGAAATTTCATAATTTTATACAAGAATTATGATCTTTTTATTTTTTTTAAATTATTATTTATAAAATTTTAAAAAAAACAAAATAAAATTTTAGTTGTAAATTGAATACTAATAAAGATATTATTTATTATTTTTACTATATTATGTCATTCCAATTAACAGAAATAACAATAAAATACTTATTTTATAACAAAAATAAAAATTGAACACTTATTTTATAACTTTTAATATTTAAAAATATTTTTTTTAAATAATAAGCAAATTTTTATCCGAAACGGAATCTAGATAACGGGAAAAGAGTCGTTGGTAAAGGTCAACAATGGCCGTCGATGTACACTAGGGGTTTGAATCACAATCACATTTCATTTCTTCCAACCATGCGGTCCACCCTCAACACCTTAGCATTTAACTAATCACCCCAACTAACATCTTCTGTTTTTTTCCAAATATAAATATATAATAGTTCTGTTTATTATATTGTATTTTACATTATTTTCCTGTTTATTCAACATGTGCTTGTTGATTTTTTATGGGTAAAGTACAAAAATGATCCTTTGACTACAAAGTGTTGTTTTATTAAATTCTTTGACTATCAAAAGTTACGAAATGGTCATGGACTATTCATTATGTTTCAAACCCGTCCTTTTCCATTAAAAAATTGAAGGTTGTCTAAGGTGGACGGTATCACGATGATTGAAATGTGATAGTCGCTTGAGATTCTGAGATCAGATTTTATCAAATCACACTCAACAATTTAACTTTCAGCTCAAAATACTGTCAATTGTTTAACAAAAAAAGACGAATTTGGAACATAATGAATAGTCGGGTGACCATTTTGTATTTTTTTATAGTCAAAGGACTCAACAAAGCGACATTCTATAGTCGAAGGACCATTTTGTAACTTTTAATAATCGAGAGACTTAATAAAGCGATACCCTATAGTTGGGACCATTCGTGTACTTCACCCTTTTTTATTTGTTATTTATGGGGGAAAAGGGTAGTTAACTACTTTCACAACAGGTAGTTTTCCTTTGGATTACTTGTTCTTTATTTACCTCTAGACTTTTAATTCAATATGAAATCAAAAAAAAAATGGCTGTCCCTTTTTTCCATATATATGGGGTAAGGGAGAGGTAAGATAGTAGGCTACCCCCAACACCAGGTTGAGAGCAGCTTCCGTAAGAGACCTCCGAATTATGAAATGCCCTCCGTGGGACTCGAAAGAAAAACTATAATAATTCTAATTCAAAGTAAACAAAATTCGAATATTCAAAAAACGGATGTAATATAATATATTTGACACTTTGTTTTTATTTGGCAACAAAAACACAATAAAAGGCATTGTTTTCAATTAGAAGCACAAGTATTTTGCTTTCGGCTAAAAATTGTCGTGCATATCCTATACTAACTTCTTTCATCATTTAACTATAGAGCTTGAGAAATGGAACCGATCGGGTCGTATGGAACCACATGGGCTGATCAATGGGACGACGGACCAGACCCCTACCCGACTCAACCTAGAAAGAGCGGCGCCGGAGGGGCTAAGGCTAAGGTTTCAAAGAAGGTCGGAGACGGTGTCGGGAAAACGAAATCGGTGGCAATAACGGGGATGAAGAAAGCTAAAGTAGGAGCCACTGCGGGTTTTAATTGGATCAAACAAAAGTACACCAAAACTAGCAAGAAATAACATCATCGTGATGGATGCTTGTCGGTGCGAAATATATATATATATATATATATTCGTACAAATCATGTTATGTACATCTCGTCTTCTTTCTGTATTCTTTATTTTGTATGTGTTGGATTCGCCCCATGATCTTCGTTTGCTTTAGAATTGTATTTGTTTTAGGGTTTTGATTGTAGTTTGTACTAGAAGAACGTAGATATCCATGTTTGATCATTTGGTTTATTGGTTAACGATTTCATTTTTGTGTGTTTAATTTGTTCTTACTGTTGGGGTTTTTCGACGTTGAGAAGGTTACGAACAATCTGAATTGATGATACGGCCCAAACAAATCTACCTTCTTATCTGATTTGATTGAGGATTTTTTTAGGGTTTTTCTTTATTGAATCTTATTACATGTAAATTTTGAATTAGTAATATGTTTACAATATAATACTTAAATGAATTTAATTTTATATTATTTTAGAAAAATAATATACCATTGAGTACGATTGACTTTGTGCTCTGAAATATTATAATCATCATATAATTTCTAATGTTTCGATTCCCCCACAAAAGGAAAGGTTGTTGAAATTTATCATTTTGTTTGAAATGAAAATGATGAACTTAAGAAGATATAATAAAAAGAGAAGATGTTGACGTCATGGATTGTGTTACTTGGTCAAACACAATTCCCATGTACACAAGTTAGAGACATGTAGGTAATCCGATACTCACGTATTTAGTGGATTTACATTGATGACGTGGCCCTAAGCAATCCAAATATATGCTATACTTACCTCATCATTTTAATCCAAATCAAATATATTATGATTTTTAACAAATTAAATTTTGGCTTTTAAGAAGGAAGATTACGCTCTCTAAAAATTCAAACAGTTATATCTATATATATATAAACATTATCAATAAGTTAAAAGAATATTAAACAAATATTATTTTATAATTACTTTAAGTTAAGGAATTTTGGCTTTTAAATATTTGCCGGTTCAAAATGACATGATAATTGTTTATTTATTTCATTCTCATCACAACTTTCTATAACACACACACACACACACACATATATATATATATATATATATATATGTTGGGGGTAATAAGCTGCAATTTTTTCCCTGGGTTTCTAGAATTCTTTGAAATTTTCAATGTCGTAATACAAGTTTTATTTTATTTTAGGGTAAACTACTTGTATAATCACTTAACTAAACTATGAGATAAGTTCTAGTCGGCTCACCGAATTATAAATTTTTTCAACCAAGTCAGTAAATTATTAAAATGATTTCAACTAAACCACTAATAATTAATCGTTAACAAAAATGTTGATGTGATAATTAAAATTTTATAAAGTTACACATTTAAACCTAATTATTTACACATTTTATCATGTTAATCCTAATTATTTATATATTAAGAAGAGGCGGAAAGTGCAAATCATTTAAGATTTTTTTTGTTTACCAAAATGTTATTGAATTAAAATTTAAGTGATCGAAACATGAAAAAAAATTTGCAACTGGAATGAATGTAACATAGGCAGTCAGCCTCCTTTATTCATGTTCAAATGACCAAGTCGTTAGTGCTCTAGAAGCTGATTGACTATAAAAGAATTTTTTTACCAAAACTCTAAACCCTAAAAGTTAAGGGTCATTTAGATAATTTACCCAAACTATTATTCTATTATACATATTTTTCGAGTTCGTCAAATGATAATTTGTCTCTACTTAATGGTAAGGAAGGAACCACTAAATTATAAAATCTCACGTTTATTGATCCCAAAACTAATAATCAATTACATCTTAAGCTATAAGAGCTTGACGAAATTCAGGCTTTGAAACTAAGCCTAATGTTATAATTCCATTTTCACTAGCAAATAACTCCAAAAGCAGTAATTCCTATGTTAGTAGACATGCTATCCAATTGACCCGACCCAACCAGCCTGATCTGAACCTCAGATAAAGGGTTAAAACGATCCAGCCCAACCAAAATTATAATTGAATAATAAAATTTAATTCAATTCATAAAGATATATGAATTATTGAGATAATATTTTAAATGGTACAATGTGCCACTGTGCCAGGTAGGCCGAGGTGGACACTATTCAGACTCGGGCATGAAAGTTTTTAGGAACCGAGCTGCAACCTTTCGAGCTCGACTGGTCCAGTCGACACCTCTAATCATGAATGAGTGCACAGATGATACTGATTTGAATAGGACAGCACATAGTATTTACAGATATTGAGTGGAAGCATATACATATGGTGCAGGCGCAGGAGTTTCCAAGAGACGTCTTTGAATTTAGAGTATGTTTGGTTTGCGGAATTATATATTATTATGAGAAATATTGTTTTTTTGGAATTATATTCTCACGTTTAGTTCACGGAATTTTACATTACCGGGAATACTTTTTTTTCAATAGTAATATTTTTTGATTAAAATGGTGAGAATATCATTAACTCCAAATTTTTAGGTAATCTTACATTCCCACTACTTTAGACAAAAATACCCTTTGACAAACGAATTCTATAATGATCCTTCTAAATTCTTATTTTTTATACTTTACTTAAAATTATAAAAATAATAATAATATACAAAGAGTTTAATTTACTAAAATATTAATAATTTTGAGAATTAAAAATATTTTATATTTTTAATATTCAATATTTTACTATTTATAATTTTATGGGATGAAAAAAATAATATTATTGTAAAAATGTAATTATTTAAAATAATATTTTACTACCATAATATTATTTTTTATATAAATAAATATGATACTTATGAACATTATTTAAAAATATAAATTTAATATACTAATTATATATTAAATGTAATTTATCCTCGAAAGTTAGATAGTATAAAAATATTTTTATGAATTTTCATTCAAATATTTATAAATTAATATTAAAGTTTAACTTTAAAAAAATATATCACAAAGATAATTTGGTAAAATATGCATCCAAGTAATCTTATATTCCTCCAACCAAACACTGTAATCTTACATTCATGCTAAACAAACCAAACAAGGTAATACAATATTCCCATAGTAATATTACATTCCAGTAATGTTATTCCCAAGGGTGCGTTTGGTGCGCGAAATCTTACATTATCAAGGGGAATGTTTTTTTCCGGAATTATATTCTAATGTTTGGTTAACGGAATCTTACATTATCAGGAATACTCTTTTCCCAATATTGCATTTTTTTGTTAAAAATGTGAGAATGTTATTACCTCTAAGGGCGTGTTTGATTCGGGGTATGTGGGATTACCGGGGGAATGGAATCCTCATTCCCCCGTTTGGTTGGACAACATTCCCAGCCCCCGATAATCTTTTATTACCAACAGTGGTATTTTGGGGGTATATTATCGGGAATGTGATTACCTCCCTTCCCTTATGTATTGTTGGATTATCGGTGTTTTGGACTAAAATTCCCTTAAAAATCTATCTTTCAAAAATATCATTCTTCTGTCGTTGAATAATAAAAATTCTACAAAAGTTAAATTACAAATTTATCCTTAAACTATTTTAGATTTACAAAAAAAGTCAATAATTAGAATTTTATATGAAGTTCATGGGTTAAAATAAAATTTTACACTTTCATTAAACCTATTTATCTTTTCAATTTTGTAAAAAATATATAATTTTATGAATTTAAATTTTTTAAAGAAAATATATAGATTAATTATAGTAATATTATAGTAGAATTCAACTTGTTAAAAAAATAAATATATAATAAGGACAATTTGGTAAAATATACATTTCAATAATTTTTTATTCATTTAACCAAACATTGTAATCTTACATTCCTACTAAATCAACCAAACACAAAAATACACTGTAATATTTATAAATTAATATTAAAGTTTAACTTTAAAAAAATATATCACAAGGATAATTTGATAAAATATGCATCCAAGTAATCTTATATTCCTCCAACCAAACACTGTAATCTTACATTCCTGCTAAACAAACCAAACACAAGGTAATACAATATTCTCATAGTAATATTACATTCAATAATGTTATTCCCAAGGGTGCGTTTGGTTCGCAGAATCTTATATTATCAAGGGGAATTTTTTTTTCCCGGAATTGTATTCCCACGTTTGGTTCACGAAATCTTACATTACCGGGAATACTTTTTTCCCAATAATAACATTTTTTGGTTAAAATGGTGAGAATGTCATTACCTCCAAATTCTTAGATAATCTTACATTCCCACCACTTTGGACAATAATACACTTGGACTAATGAATTCTTTTTATAACGATCATTCTAAATTCTTATTTTGTATACTTTACTCAAAATTATAATAATAATAATATACAAATAGTTTAATTTACTAAAATATTAATAATTTTGAGAATTTAAAAAGCTAAATCATAATAATAATAAGAATAATATACAAATAGTTTAATTATAACTCCTTAAATTCAACCACAGTGAATTTCTTGGATGGTTTGATTTTTTATTCTTTATTACTCAACTGACATAGCTAATTAAGCTGCCTTCACAAATTTTGTGTTGTTTAAATTCAATATAAATTAATACCAGAGCTGAATGGTAATATAGATTCATTTGTTTGAGAAATAATTTAGCTTTTTAAACTTGAACACATTATTTAACCGGCAAGTATAAGGGTTCATTTCCAAAGAAAAATGGTATTTACTGATCAGTTAGGGTTGATAGGTTAATAAAATTTTACACAGTAATGTATAGGACAGCTTTCAAATGAATCCAAAAAGTCAAGCTCATAATGAAAATATGCATTAATCCATTTTTATATATTTAATTTGATTTATAATTATACTTTTGATGTAATTTTAATTGATATAACAATAAATATAGTTATAAATCATTACACAATATG